TTTTGAAAGAAGAATCCATAGAAATGAGTTCATAATAAGCGTAGAAAAATTTCTTCGGTTTCTTCGTCGTGATTTTTATTTTTATTTTTTATATATACATATATTTTTTCTTATTTGCCGTGCAGGCGTGAAGCGTGGTCCGAATAGGAAATATCTAAATAAAGGAGAAAAGGGAAAAAAATTAAAAAAATCAAAAAAAAAAAAAAAATTTAAGGCACAGAAAAGCATAACTACCCGTAAAATGTAAGGAAATGGAGTTCATTAATTAAATGAGGAATTAATTTTAAGGAATTAAATAATCAATTAATCATAAATACTCCAAGCTGAAATTTGTTATTTCTTCCTATTTCTTCCTATTTCTCTCTGACCTCTCTCTCTCTCTCTCTCTGTCCGCCCCTCTTCGTATTTACTACCGTCCTTGTTCTTTTCCAACCTTCAACATCAACTTCGCACTTTCGACTTTTAATCCTACAACTAATACAGTGTACGCTTACATCTGCGGCTCCAAGCTCCAAGCTCCAAGCTACATCTCAATCCCCAATTCGAACTCCCCCCATTCAACAATTCAACAACTCAATAAATTGAGCTATCACAATCATCTCATCTCATAGGTGCTCTCTCTCTGTTCTCTGCCCACTGCTGCCTTGTGCTGTCCTGTCCAACAACACCTGCAGCACCCCCCTCTGCTGCCTGCTGGTTCAAACCTCCGATTTGCTTGACTATTTAGACACCGCTCCCTAAGCTCTAAGCAAGTCCCACGGCTAAGCTGAAAAACCAACCTGCTTTTCTCCCGCCCGCCATCTAATTTGCTGCCCAGTGCTTAGCCCGTCTGTGGAACTACTTCTTCTTCATCATCACCACTATTTTCTTCTTTAAGAATTAATTATCACTACGCCTATATCCACCGATTCTCCAGTTGGCACTGCACAGTATTGCGTTATATCCATTGCATTGCAACTCCCATCGACAAGACAACAGGACAAGACACAACCTCTTCTTCGCTGGGATCTCCATTTGTTCGTTCTGGGTGCTTCTCTCTCTCTCTCTCTCTCTCTCTCTCCTCTCCCATGTTGGCTGCCAATCCTCCGCTGATATGAGTTGGGACCGCCCAGTCCACAGGTAGGTCTAATCCATTTTGATTTTATTTATTCATATTCATATTGTTCCACATTTTACTTCTTGGAGAAAAGATACACCAACCAGGAGTGACTTTGGGGTCTCGGGAGATCTTGCTTGCTGCTTTACGCTCTCCGTCCCTGTTTTGTTCTCCGCCTATCAGACCCACAAAATGGCATTCAATTGCCTATTTCATTGTCATGATAGATCCAGGACGGACGGCGTTACTTTACCGAATCATTTTAGCTTAATAATAGTTTTTATATAACTAACTATATGACTGACCTTTGCTTGGATACTTATGCAGTTTTAACCACTCGAATGGCGAGCCTCAGACTCCTAAAACTCCGACTTCAGCGGGCTTTGTCGAGTCGGCCTTCCAAACCCCAAAGCTAGAGTCAAGTTTCTACGACCCTCGAGTCACTTGGAATACTGCAGACCCTTATGCTTCAAGCCCCGAATTTCTAAAAACCCCTCAGCGATTTGGCTTGACCACCCCTTCTAACCACAAAAATGGTCCTCATGGCGTAACCAACCGGGATTCAACCCTCGACCCCTCTTCTTCCGTCTCGTTTGCACTGAATCTGTCCCCGCAGCTGGAACGGACTTCGATCTCTGGCAGGGCTAGGGCTGGTAACAAAACGAATCGCAGAAGCAGAACGAGCAAGGGCAGCAATAAGTCCGCGAAGAATCAAACAGCAGATCCGGGCAAAGTTGATGATAAGGACTCCACTGACTCCGAAAAACGATCATCAGCGGCATCGATGCAAACTCCGCCCCCGACCAGCACTGGCAGGATAAAGATGCAAGACAGAACCAACCCCGGGAATACCAACTCAGCCGCCGGAAATGACAACTGCAACAACAGGAACAATGATCATCAGACTATGGAGGCACCTGACTCGAGTTTCCTAGAGACTCCAAGCCGTGTCGTTGGGATGTCAGCTAACCTATTTGATTCCCAATCCCCTAACCTATTCCAGATGGCTGCGGCCTCCACGGACTCACCGTTTTACCCCCAAAACCGGCTGTTTTGGGACCAGGATACACAGTTCCCAGCTGACTCGTTAGGTATGACTGACACATATGGAGATCCATTTGGTACCCCAACTCGTACCTCTGCTTTTGATGCATTTGACCAGAATCAGATACACAATAATGACCTCCAGGTGCCCTCATTCCCTACGATGCATGGCACTCCGGGGATGGAACCATTTAGTGATAGCCACGTTTACCATACGACAACAATGAGACCTCTAGACTCCAGTCTCTTTCCTACTGCGTTTTCGACATCCCCTCGTCTTGCTGCTGTAAGGGATGAGGATCCTGCGATGTTCTTGAGTTCTCCTGCACGGAGATTTGGGTTTTCAGAACCTAAAATGCCTCAAGATACACCTAGAGTCGAGACCAGGCAACCGTATCATCACCAAACCGAGGAGTCCAAGCGTGAGAAACGATTGAAAGAGTTGAAACGGGCTAGAAGTTTGGCTCGTCGTAAAGTTGAGGCTGCCAATGAGGTTGTTGATGCCCTACGTCAGTCACGATCTTCACAACATCTCTCTAGACACGGCTCAATGCATTCATCACTCCCGCATAGTCGCCATCCCAGCGGGCATTCTTGCTTCGGTGCTAGTGCCGGTGCCGGCCCCTTGGACAGTGGTGTAAGAAAACCCCCTGCCAAAGGTCGTTTGTCGCCGTTAAAAAGTCAAGCATCACCGTTTCCCCGCCCTTGTTCGGCTGCTCTGTCAACTCCAGTTGAATCAGTTGTTTTAAAAATTGGCAAGGATGGGAGAGCCAAAACTGAAATGACGATCGAAACTGAACCACTCACAGGTTTTGGCCGTGGTCTAGGGGTGGATCTGGATGAATCATCCACTGAGAGCGAGACCGACTCTTCAGATGAATCAGATTATCCAATCACCTACAGTGCAAATCCTTCTTTTAACATACACCCCGATATTACTCCACGACGGTCTGGTGTTTCTCGTGCACGTTCGACCTCACGTCCCCATTCTAAAAGTTCATCCTACTCTCCAACGGTAGCTTCTCCACACTCGGGACGACATTCCCCTTGGGCAACCTCATCTCATGGGAGTGGAAGGCTTCCACAATTACCTACCCAGCAAAACGGCTGGATGACATCTCGTACACACACCAACCCTGCAGGAGGCCACTCGCGCGACCAGTCTACAACAGAGTCAGAGGTTACTCAAGCTGATGACGATATGGGTGACGCCCAACATGCACTCAAACAGGTATTGAAGAGCAGAAATAGACAAGCAAGACAACCAGCACCTCTCTACAGCCAAAGGACACGCTCTTCACAAGCTCTATCAACATTGAAATCATCTCCTCCAGGATTTGGCGGAAACTTTGACTCCCGTCGAGAAGATATTAGCTCGCCTACAACCGTGACTGACCCGGACTTTGCGACTCCAACCGCTGAACGACAGAGTAACCCAAGCAATGGGACAAGATGTGTTTGTAATTCTATGGATAATGGTGGGCATTTGATGATTCAGTGGTATGTACTTTCCCCTTCGTTCGAGTTACTCTAATAAGTTTTGCCTACTAATCTGGAAAGCAGTGAATCCTGCACGCATTGGCTTCATACCAAATGTGTTGGCCTCGACCGGCAGAGTCTACCACCTGTATACATTTGTATATATTGCAGTCAGACCCCTATGAGAGGTGGCCGCATCCGCGATCCCTTGGCTGGTAGTGAGCAAATCACGACTTCCCCGCTGGTCCATAAGTCATATCGATTCCGGTAGTTATTTTTTGATACCTACCAATATATATACTTTAACCAGATATATGTCTGGCCGGCTTGGTTACACTACACGAAGCCACCATTATAGGAATCAACCATCATTATCGATTCTTAGCGATGATCCCAAATTCTACTCAACGCGTATTTAGCATACACAAACATCCAGATGATGAAAAGTACCTTAAACAATCTGGGTTGTGTTTTCACCTCTTTTTACAGCTCTTTTTTCTGCTTTTATATCATACCCCCATACAATACACCCCAAATCCAATACCCCCTTCGCAGCAGTTTTTCCTTAGTCTCAGATACGGATGGAACTGGCTTCATTTTCCAAGAAGATTCCGTTAGCCCTTTCTACCTGCACATATATACATTCTATAAGACATATTCACTTCTTTTTTCCTTTCCCTTTTCCCCACTTAACTCTCATCTTAAGATTCATCCTGTAGTGCATAACCATGACGGAAAAGCTCCGACGCCTTAATATTTATTTTCCTTTTCTTTATAATGTTTACTTCCATGGTATGTTCTGCTTATATTAACATGTACGCTTAGTTTTACCTCCTGGTTCTCGAGCAGGCACTGGTGTAGGATTAGTTCATTGAGCCTTCTTCTTTTCTTTCTTTTTCTTTCTTTCCTTTTTTTTGGTTTTTTTTTGTGCTTCATTTTGTACTTTCTTTTAAAATATTGATGATAACTGGATGGATGACTGTACCAATGGATAAACAATGTGCTGAGGTACTACATAAGATATCATAATAAAGATTACTGTTTGTTGCTGAGTTTACTGTAATTTGAAAGGAGTTTTGAGGAGTTAGAGGTGTTCCAATCTGATGAAATTGTAGCTAGAACAGATGATACAGAATGACCTACATCTTGATTTTTAGGTTAACTATGTCACTCGCAAACAGACAGGTGTGAAAATGTGTGATATGCCTGTGATATTGTCCCCAGATCAACCTAGACACTTAGCTACACCATATGGAAATTTTGTATTTATATCATATGCTAGAAGCATAAGGCATTTATGTGACATGTATTCATTCATGCGTTCTATGCAACTCAAAAACACCTACGTACCTGCATAACCCCCTTTCCACCAGTTTCTATCTTACTCAACCCCCCTTCCCTTCCCCTTCCCCGTCCCTTCAGCACCCCCATCATAACTACCACCAACCCACAACCCCGCCACCGTCTCCACCGCCCTCTCCACAACCACCCGCACTCGATCCCTCAACACCGCATACGAACACTCCACCTCCAGCGTCTCCAACCACACCCGCGCCACATGCTTGTCAACCCGGATTTCCAGGCCCGGCACGGATATACCGAGGCTATGCAGCCGGTCGAGCTCTGCGCTTTCGAGTTCGTGGAGGTGTTCCGGTGATAACTCGTCGGGGGGTGTTGTGGTTGGTGTTGTATCTGTGGGTGATGGGGCTTGGTTGGCTTTTCCATAGGGAGTTGATGTTGAGACTGCGCTAGCATCTGGGTCTGGCTTTTGAAGGGTTGGGGTGCCGTTGTTTTTGGCGACAGGGGGAGCGGGTGTTGGTGTCGGGGCGGCGAAGGAGTGTCTCATCTTTGGTTTCTCGATTGGTGAGATGTTTGGACCGAATTGGGCTTCGAGCAGCATGCAGAGGCGCGCGAGGCGTTCTTCAGGGGTTAGATTGGAGTGTGGATTTGGTAGACGTAGTGAGTGGTCATGGGAGTGTATATGACGGTGTTGTTTGCTTGATCCTGAAAGAGGGATATACGGTGATTAGCGGACCGTTTTGTTTAGGAGCTATAGGGAGGGGATCATACGTTTTACTGAAGCCGGACTTGTCTCCACTGTTAATAGCACGGCCATGACGGCATCAGCAATCCCATCATTCATCATATTCCCCTCCCATTCAACTTCTACCTCGCGAGCTCGCGGCCTGTAGCGGAGAGTAACACACCCCATAATGAGATATGCAAGTGGCTCGTCTGAGGGTATCTCTTCATCCGCTTCTTCCTCCTCCTTTTTAAAAACCTCATCGCCGTTGGTTTCCCCGCCATCTTTTTTGTAGTGATGGGCCCTCAGTTCTTCAATAGCCCCAAATGTCCCCTCCAACGCCCACCGAATCAAACCAATACTGGCAGTGCTCAGTGTGATGTGTTGTTTGCAGGTGATAGTCGTCGTAGCCAGCCCAGCATACTCTCGAAGGTCCTCGGGAGCCATAAGTGATAGTTTGAACCCGTTTTGGACGAGAACACCATTCATAAGTCGCGATTCCGATTCATCAGCTGGCGGTGGCCTCTCTGCGAGCCGCCCTACGACTTTGGCCATTTTGTCAACTTGGAAGGGTATTCGGACTTCCTCGCAGTTTGCTGGTGTGAATACTTTGACCTTAACCTTTTTGTCTGCGTTCAGACTTAGAAGTTTGGATTTCAGGCGCATCATTTGGTGTTTTTCGCCATGAACCAAAATCTGTGGTAAGCGGTTAGAACTAAGCCACTGCTTTCAAATATCATACACCAGAGGTGGACTACTCACAACAACAGGAGCCCCAACTTCTTCGATGAATTCACGATTCTCAACGCCATCTACGTGAGCTGCAAAACTTATCTCATCCACAGTGCATCGCCTTGGAATCATGACTTTTTGTTCTTCATCGCCTCCGGTCATTCGCCTTGCTGGACCCACCGCATTCCTACCGCTCATAACGGCTGGAATCTGCTCTGGCTCATTCAGGATCTGCTTACCCATAGTCCCCTCAACACTATATCCAGTCATGATGATTCCGTTGCGTTCGTTTGGCGCCCATCGTTCAAGAAGCTCTCGACTAGTGCCGGTTTGTAGCATACCAGGAGACGCAAGCATAACACACCCACCAACATCATCGAATCGCTCAATATTCTTCACACTACGCACATAGCGAAAATTCCACGGCCCAGCAGTGGCACTATTGGCACCAGCAGCATCAGCCTCTGCCATGCGCTCGCGAAAGACACGCTTGATATTTTCGTTCATAGCTCCGATGTATGTCTGGTAAACAATTATGCATTTACGCGCCATGTTTCCGATATAGTAGATGGGAATTTTCTGTAATTCCGGATGCCGGCTCCAGTATTCATCGAGAATTAGGAGGAGTTCCTGAGCTCGTCCCAGGGCGAAAACCGGCATGAGAACCCGCCCACCCCGATTGAGAATGGTGGTGATTGATTTCATGAGGGCCGCCTCCCGTTCTAGTCGAGGGGGGTTTGAAGATATGCCAAACGTTGATTCGGTGATGAGCACGTCAATCTTGATACCCTTGGGTACTTCTGCAGATATAAGATGCCGGTCTTCTTCACGGGAGTAATCTCCTGTGAACAGAATGTTAAGTCCCGCAATTGAGATAAGGAACATGGCTGCACCAAGAACATGGCCCGCAGGAAATGGTGTAATACGAATGCTGTTGATAGTATGGGTGGTGTTGAAATCGATGGCCTCGATCTGCGGCAGCGTCGAAAGGTGTTCTTCTTCGGTATAGAGCGTCGTTCGTTGATCAGAGGAAGAAGACGTATTGCTAACCCGGACGTTGTCCTGGATCAACCACTTGTAGATAGCTTTGGTAGCGTGTGTCATGAAAACCCGACCCTTGAAATTAGTTTTGCTAAGCACGTAGGGCAGACCGGCCGAGTGATCCAAGTGGAAACTAGAAAGTTCAAAAAATAGCACAGAGAATTAGCTAGGTGTCCGGTATAGAGATATAGAAAATAAAGTAGGATACGAAGACAGGGAAACAGGAACGATAGGTGGGCACTTATAGCAGAGATGGCGCAGATACAAGAGAGAGATACACAGGGACAGACACGGTAAAATGAGGACAAAACATAATTTCATTTGATTTCTGATATACATATTCAGGGCGAAGGGAATGTAAGCGAAGGAAACACCTGCGATAGGATAGGGCCTGCGCGAGTAATTATCCACCACAAACGGCAAAATTTTATCCTCCCCATCCAGGATATCCCCGTATCAAGATCAACATATGGAATAATAAAGGGAAAAGCTGTCGACGTACTGGCTTATAAGAAGGATGTCAACGCTACTTAGGTCAAAATCGTCGAAGAACGGGAGAGCAGCGAAGCCTTCTTTTGCAGGGTGCATTCCAGCATCAAGCTATATGGCATCTTGTCAGCATATTGTCGCGCGATTCGATGCGATATACAACGAACGGCAGAAACAAATGACCCACCATAACCGTCTTCCCCTTGTATTGAATGATATGACATGATCTCCCAACTTCATTTCCGCCTCCTAGATTGTAGAAAAGGAGCTCATCGGAAGGGTCCACAGGCTCCTCGCTGGCAGAGGCTTGGATGGCGGAGGCTTTTCGTTTTGTCGCCATGTTCTATATGTATGTATATTTGTATGTCTAAATACGTCGCAACCGTGACTCTAGGAGAGTAGTATTGAATGGCCGGTATCAAAAGTCCACGTTGCGTGGGATATGTATATATAAGTATGTATGGACCTTGGATCCCCCCAGTCGCATGGAACACGATGCTGGGTCTGTTAAGGCCGCCTAACACAGCATTGCTGTGTTACTCAAGACAAGTAGAGGGACAGACAGACTTCAACGAGGATATATTCCACAGTGCCTTAGTCCACCTCCACGCGCAAGATCCTCCCTGTCAATACTGGTCTTCTTTGTCTTCTTCAGCTGTTTAATATGTTTAATATGTTGAAGCTGCGTATCTTTTTGATCTTCGAAGTTAGTTCGACGAGAGATGCCAAGCTCATTACATCAGCAATTACACGTGACTCCAAGCTTAGAACCTTCAAACATCTTGAACACATCAACATCTCTTCAACGACAAAAGTAATATATCTGCATCTACATCTGCTATTATCTACTGCAACTAGACTCCACTTCCACGTGTTGAGCAGTATTCAGTGAAGTGGTCACTCTTCGCAAAACCCTATCCTCCGGTTCAGGCCCGGCAGAATGACTCGGAGATGACCGCGTCTTCATTACATCTCTTGCTTGGGCGCATTGCTCCCTCTTTTCGTGTGCTCGTCTGGCGAGGCGATCTTTCACTATCATCCGCGGGGTCAATATCCATTCACCTATAACACTCTATCCAGCCTCTGTTTGCCTTCCACATTCACCATTCACCATGGCTCAAACACAGTCCCAGCAGTTTGCTTCGCAGACCTTTTCCCCGCCTGTCTCCACTCCCTCCCCTGGAGCCCCGTCTCCCGTCAGCGGAATCGCCCCTCCTCCAAAACGTCAGCGTTTCTCACCTTTGCCCCAGTCTCAGTCTCCTTACGAATCTCCCAGCTTTGGTACCCTGCAGCTACCTCATACAGGAAGTCCAGTTAATGTCTCTTTTGCCAACGGCACCTCTACTCCCGCCATGAACGCGCCTCCTCTTCCCGGGTCTATGGGTCCCCCATCGAGACCAGTCGAGAAAGCCACCGATACAGCTGAACTGACCGATGTTCTGGCTTCATCTGGCATTGATGTTAGAGAAGAGGAGGAATATTTAACCCATGCATATGGACAGGCTCCTGCCGCCCCCCAGCAACCCCCGCGTTTACAGACAAACTTCAACAACTCCTTCGTTACTCACCAATCAGCCGGTACCGTTTCTGCGGGAACTAGTTTCGTGGAATCGCCACTGCATAAATCAACACCGACACAGGGAACATTCGTAACTCCTATATCTATTAGCGCTAAATCCGCCACCATCCAGAACCCGGAGGCTGCAGCGGAGGATGAAATTTTACGACAAGATACTGCGGCAAGCAGACGTATGCAATACCCTCTACAAGCGCCGTTTCTATCTACATCATTATTAGAAGAGCGAATACAAAAGCGCACCTACGATCTTGGAGTGCGTGTGCCAGCGCACGGTGTCTACCGCCCTTATCCAGGTCGCGCTGCGGGTCCTGTCGAGGTTACTGGTCCAGATGGTTCGTCTGTGGTACGCACTGGCAAAGCGCTTTTGACCCAGGATGCCCCGCTTGGCGATATCCTTTCTCTGGTGACCCTGGCCTGTGAAGAACGACTGCGATCTGTGATCGATCATTCTTACGCGTTAGCAATTAACCGACGAGTAAATTCCCACGGTGTTGTTCCATTAGAATGGAGTGACATGGCCGTTGCATTAACACCCCCTAGTGCAAAAGCAGATGGTACTTCGACTAAGGAGGCCACTCCCACAGCAGCAACTCCCAAACGTAGGTAAAATGTGTTGATTTTATGAGATTTATCACTCTTTGAGCTAATCATCATCTCCTGCAGGCCCTCTGCCCAACGATGTTGCGAAGGACGACGAATCTCCTAATAAGAAACAAATGACGATAGTCAATATCATTGCCAAACGGAGTCGTAGCCTAGTGGAGAAGGATATATCATTTGAAGAAGAACGGGCAAGTAAACGAACAAGAAGGAATGCTGATGCGATCCTGGGTGGCGATACTAGCAGAGCGGGCTCTGTTGGGCTTGGCACATCTGGAACTGCCACACCAACTGGCCAGCTCAGTGAGCGTATTATGGAAGAACGCAAAGCCACGAAAAAAGACACGAAGAAGGCCGACAACAAGGTGACTGAAGCGGTACAACATCAACAGTCTGTCGAGACTGCCCGAATGGCCACAAACAACCTGACGTCTGGCGTCAGATTCGGTGGGAAAAAGAAGACCTACAGCTGGCTAACAAACAGCTCACCTGCAACGGCGCGGAGTGTTTCCACGCCATCAAGAGCAAGTGTTGGTGCTGCTGCCACCGCCGGAACGCCCACTCCAAGACCCACCGGTGTGGCTGTTACAGGACCCAGTAGACTTACTGGGAAACAGATGGGAGATTGGCGAGAGAGCGACAAGGAGCGTGGAGCCGGTGTCCAGATTAGGGATATTCTTTTTGTGCTGGAAGTGGATGGCAAGGGTTTGAAGCACTTACAGAAGGCTTACTCGAAGGAGTCGAAAGAAGACAACGATAAATCCGTGCGATAGCAGCAATGAACCTACCCCAATATCCAATATCAAGGCGACGGAGAGAAGAAAATGAGAGAATTAACTTAACGGAGCACCGGCGTCATTGGCTTACCCTTCAGTTTCTCCACGGCTTGTTTCGTGGAGGCTGGTTTACATTCTCATGGGTTTTCAGTTACTTACGTAAATGTTTTATTATTGATCCACCTGCAGGCGTTTTATTGTTTCGCAAACTGCCAAATTGCTTTACTTATTATCTCAACCCTTCTTTTTTTCTTCTTTTTTTTTTCTTCTATTTCTCTCTTCTTTTTTTTCTTCTTTTTTTTTCTGTTAGCATTATTTATGCCCTTTAACAGTTTCTTTAAACCAGAGGGTCATCGAGTTTTTTGCCCCCCACCTCTGCCGTAATTGTTTGTCTACATGTGGGCACGAGGTAGACTGCATAAATAAAATGATTGATCCATTGCTTATTTCCAGTTATCATCGTCCTAACTGATAAGTAAGGTTCTTTCTTGTCCTTGTTTCCCCTAAGATATCGATTAATGGCGATGAAGTTTGATTTAATTACTCCAGAATAGTATTAATAACATTCCCCGCATGCCTAGCTTGACAATCTGACAATCAGCCCGCGTCGTGTCAACGTATGCCTAATACCTGTCCCCATTGCATTGTTATTCTTCTGTCACCAACGCACGCAAACCGCCTAATCCGTTCGAGACAACCCAACTGCTTACTCAGGATCTTAATTAATCCTTTGATCCAGAACGTTGTTTCTTTGACCACGTTGATTGTTCCTAATACCTAGGGATGCTGTGGGCCCTATATCCACGACCAATGTCCAGTCCGGTTCGGTCAAGCTCTACGATGGCAACCTCCATCAGTTCTTATCTCTTCGTCCCAAACGGAAGTTTTTAAGAAGGAAAGATTCCATTCTTCAGAATAGATATATCCAAAGAGGCTTTGTCATGTTAACATTATTTCAAACTCCCCAAACATCCCGACCATTGCCATCTCAATATTCCATCATAATATATATTATATCATAAGTATTTACCTATGCTTCGGACCACTTCTACGAGTCGTCTGGCAACGACGGTAAATGAGTTGGCCGTCGGCGTTGGCTGCTCCCTTGTATCCCAGCCCTTGTCCAACGTTTATATTCTGAGATAGTCATCATTGCTATTATATATCAGGCTGCTATGCTGTTCTTTGGCCCGTCCGGAATTCGCATTCAGATGCGAGGATTATATTCCACAAGCGGTCACTTTCAGCCGTATATACACATATATACGATCCTGAGCGCCAAATGCAAAACGAAAGGCAAACAGATGTCAGAGAGGAGAGAGAGAAGAAATAAAATGTTCTTCTCTTCCCATCTTGTTGCTTTGGCTCTTATCCCAAATTGTACGCGCTACAAGCAGCCAGAGCCTGCTAATACATATTTGTACCTAAGATATTCCAATCTCAGCCTGCTTGGACCCAATTTTCCCGCAAATGAAGAAAGGACACAGAAGAAGAAGAAAAGAAGAAAGGGGAAGAAGAGCAAATGGAGACCATGAAATAAAAGCAAATTTTTTTCCGTTCATCCACTCACTTAGTTAATGCCCCCAAAATTCAAATTGGCCGCACCGAAACTCTGGAACCCTCTCTCAGCAAAATTCCAAAAGAATCCTTCTTCTCCTCAATCTACACAACTCAATCTACACAACTCAATCTACACAACCTCCAATTTTAAATGAAGCTTCATCTCCACCTCTTCTGACCCCAGGTCCTTTGCGCTAATAAACTCTGCCCACCTCGCCGCCGGCATGGCACCACGCTTCGCGGCAAGTCTACCATAGTTATCAATTTAACTAGGACCAAAGCTATTGCCACTACTGCGTTGGATTTTGTAAGGAATGTGACACGTATGATGTTGAGGTTTCTGGGCTGGCCTGGGAAGAGTTGACCGCGGCCGGGGGTGTGGTTGGGTTTGGGAGTGGGGAGAAATAGCTCGCAGAGAATTGCTGCTATGTAGTAGGCGACGGCTCTTTCTGCCTTTAACCCATATTCTGTGAGATGAAAATCGGTGGTATCAATGGGGAAGCAAGTGTCATTTGCTAACAAGTATCAGAATGATATTTTATTAGTATTGCAGTATGGTTTCTCTGGCTTTACCACAGTAACAGCAACGGCCAAGTGGAGGAAGGAATCAGGATCAGCCACGGACACTGGCTAGGAATATATGTCTTTCATTTTCCGCCAGGATCCCATCAAAAGTGAAGATGGGCTGTTTAACGGAGAGGAAATGGAAAAGGGAGGGCGAGAGGCGAAGAAGGTCACTGATATTTCAAGGATTTTGACTGTTCTTTTAACGGTTGAACACTAGACACTTCACCTGCTATTTGTAATAAAATCCGACGGTCCCAGAGAAAGTGAGTTAAATTGATGAATTACGACATTACTTTTCCTGTATCCTTCATACTCCTGCGTTGTTGTTGTGTCGTCGTGCATATCTCAGCGGAGAGACAGCTAAAGAGCAGCTGTAAAACGAGATTAGTGAAGAGAGCAACAACCACATGGCTACTAGATAGGTAAAGTTTATCAGAAATTCAGTATCAGGGTTGAGAAGAGACAAGTTGAGTCTCCCATAAATCATAGCCCTCATGCAGCCAAGAACTCAACTGTCTCGCTAACTATTTTCTATATGGATCCGGGGAAAGATTTGAGAATAAAACAATACCACGAGTGACAAAACACTCATGGAAATTGTACATCAATATCATCATCATCATGAGCTCTTCCATGTCCTTGCCATTCAGTCTTTTTCCGTTGAATTTCTCCTTCAGTAAAGGCGAACGAGCCGGTTCGATAATTAACAATGAGGTGATAACACTTGCCAATTAGATATCCGTAAACATTGGGAGAATGCGACACTAAGAGCAGAGCGACTGGGCGAGGTTGAAAGTGTTTGAAATGCACAAATCACTAGTCTCTTTACCTACGGGTTTAGCAGAGCAAACATGAGAGGGTGCCTGTAAACCCGCATGAGCCACAAGGATACTTAGAAAATGGGGAGAATTGAATGGGGAATGAGAATCCAGCGTCTCCTTTGTATTGTAGACAAGAGGCGGGATGACTTTCAAGGAGCCATGGATAAGATGAGAAAATGATCGAGACATGGAGAGAAAAGTTGTTATAGTTAAAAAAAAAAAAAAATTGAAATTGAGATCGTAATCGACATCGAATATCAAGCCCAACATAGGTAGTAATTTCTGACAATGTACTGTACTCTCTCGCCTTGTGTAACCCTTCTCCATATTGTGATACGTGTAGAATATAGAATGTAACAAACCAACATAAAAGACATTAACAGTTTAAAACGGGAAGTTTTAACTAATAGTTAAAATTAAAAAAAAGGAAGGGGGAAAAGGTTAATTAGAAGAATGCAATTAAAACAGAATTCGGGGAATATATGTCAAATGTCATGTTTGTTCAGCTCATTATATGCCTTTGCCTCGCCTCCCAACCTGTTCAATAACAGAAAGAAATAATATGAAAAAGAGGCAATGAAAAATAAGTGATAAGGAAACACACACACACACAAACAAACAAATAAACAAACAAACCAAAAAAAAAAGATAAAAAGATGAAAAGATGACATGTTTCTTACACTGTACGATCGTGGTTGAAAGAAGAGAATGAGAGACCCCTTCTGCTTTCCTTTTCTCGCTATTGCACCGCCCAAAAATTACCAAACCGAACTCATCCCAATTCCATTATTTATCCTGGTGCCGAAAACGTACTTTTTTTGGTCTTTTTCTTTCCTTTTTGTTCAGTTTATATAAAAAGCCAAACAAACTACTCTCGAAATTGCCGAAGTGTGCGTGCTCCTCCATCCGGGATAGATACTGCAGTGAGGAGAGTCACTTATGGAAGGAGAGGCCAGTTTAATCATCGAATTGTAATTAAGAAACCGTCATTGGCCCACCACAATAAAATGGGTAAATCGGTTAGGCAACATGGGAAAGTGGACATGATCTCTTAAGATGCAGAAGCGGATGCAGCTTTGGCAGCAGCGTCTTCGCGGAGTTGCTGGCCAATTCGCAGCGCCTCAGTGCCGTCGTCTATAATTGATTCTTTGAACCAGGGATGTTTGAGGGCTTGTTTGGCTGTGATACGCGCCTTGGGATCGTAGACGAAGATGCGCCGGAGGAGGTCGAGGAATTGCTTGTTGAACGTTGTGGTGGTGGGAATGAAGTCCTGGATTTTACGTCAGGAAATGTCGTTATTTAAAAATCAAAGGCAAAAAAGTGTTAAAAGGGGAAGGGGTTGTGAAGAGTTCGTACATGAAGCGGTTTCATGGCCCGGACGTATTTCTTTGAGGCCTTGGATGTTTCAGTATTTGGATAGTCTAGTTTACTTCGGTTGAAATATCTAGTTTGTCACGGTTAGTATCAAAGTGAGGTTTCCGTGAAGGGTGCATCAAAAGCATTGTACATACTTGGCTGCTTGGTTGGCACTGCCACCACGACATTGCATAACCTGTTTGACAATCTTCGCGTCGATCTTCCCGCCACAGACACTTTCCATCATTGCGAGATGTTCGAGATTGTCGTGTGTTTGAAAAAGGGCATCACCGGTGAAAAATTCAACGAGAATGCAGCCAATGCTCCAGATATCGCATGGGAAACTCCAGCCCAGATTCAGAATGATTTCGGGAGCGCGGTAGTGGCGCGTTGAGACGACTGAGGAGTGATACTCGTCATTGAAAGTGGCGGATCCGAAGTCGATTAGTCGAATCTCACTGTTCAGAAGCACGCGTCGTTGGCGGGCGTTTCGGGACGAGGTATGTGATGATGAAGGGATGGAGCGGTTGTATGTGAAGGTTTGATAGGCATTGTTGACAAGGAGAATATTTTCAGGTTTCAGATCTGTATGGATGAGGTTCAGATCATGGAGGACTAGAGAATGTTAGTATCCACCCAGCACATCATGACCTTATAAAGGGATTGGTATATGAGAAAACTTACATGCAACGCTAGTTAGCAGCTGTCGAGCAAAGCTCTGGATCTGGCTACTTGGGAAGGGCACAAATCCGTTACCCTTAAGGAAATCGAACACGCTCTGGCCCAGCAGATCGGTCACGATGCAGATGTGATTTCGGAAGTCGAAGCAGTCCCGAAGATGTATGCACTTGTTACGATTTGTTTTATCGTTGGAGGCTAGGGTGGAGAGCACCCGCAGCTCGATACGGGAGGCATCTCTGTATTTCTGCACGGAACGGATTATTTTTACGGCACAGCGGGTTTTCTTGTGCTTGTCGTAGGCCTCGACGACTTTGCCAAAGGTTCCTTGGCCAAGTAGTTTGACGATAGAATCTAAATCAATTAGCAATTGTTGTACAATTCGGAAAGAGAATCTGAAGGCAACTTACATCTATCGGTGAGGTCGGTATCGGGAGTCACTATGTAGTGTCCGTCATCATCGTCAATTTTCTGATTTTTAGGAAGATTGTACTATCGAGAGGTCAGCAATGACAAAACAAACACGTTTTTTCATAGCGGGGAGGCTAACGTACATCTCTGATCACCGGCACGGTGACGTCTTTTGCCTTGATAGGGGGTTTTGGAGGGGGAATGTAACTATTGTATGCATCACCAGCAACCTCCAACTCCCTTCGTTTCTGTTCATCACGAGCAGATTTGCGGGTCACAACCCGTTTTCGTTTCTGGCCAATGGTGGTGGAGTCTTCGTAGTACATATTATTTAGCGGGGCACTGCCATGGGAACCCATAGAAGTAGGGGCAGTGGTTTGTAGCGAGGTAGTTCGATCCGTGGAGATGGAGGTGCCAGACGACTCCTCGCCATATTGCTGCGGGTGGATGGAGAACGTGGGCCGATCGTGGTAGGTCATATCGACTGCAGTTTCCAGACCGGTCCGTCTCCTTTTGCTTGCAGGGGCATGGGAGACGGGCATTTTGTGAAGCGTGGAATTGAGATGGTTATTATTATTATTATTGTTGCTGTTGCTACTGTTGTTGTTATTGAAGGTGGCATTGGTGGCGGTAATGCTGTCATCGTCATCGTCGATGACAATGATTTCTTTGGGAACGCCATTCTTGTAGAATTCGGCCCAGTTTGGCTTTTTCCTCCGGCTCCGAGAAGTAGGTAATGTAACGGGGGAAGAGGGTTGCTGGTGATGCTGTTGGTGGTTGTGCTGCTGCTGCTGGTAGGATGGCATTGTGACCTGATGTTGGTTGTTTAGTTTGGACGGACTGGGAAGTGGGAGGGGAGGTGCGGCGGTCGTAGCAGGAGTTGTAGCAGAGTATCCATAAGAATTGGCTAGTCGAGAGGAGCCCGTAGCGACGGCAGCAACAGCAGCAGATGCAGATGGATAAGAGGTATTTTGCTGGTAAGTGTGATGCGAATAACCATAGTGTGGGTGACGGGATGGGTGAGTGGCCGTGGCAGTTGAAGGGGTCGACATGACGCAGATAAGACGGGGCGGATTTTTCCCTTTAATATGTTGGAAGGGAAAGGGGTGAAAATTTTGAGCAATGATTCAAGGACTACAAACACCAGATTGCGTTCTTTCTCGTTGTCCTCGTTGTTCTCTTTTATTTTTTTTTTAATTTTCTTTTTTAATTTTTAATTTTTGTTCTCTTTCGTTGTCGGTGGAAGAGGTTGTAAGGGTCGATTAGTGAGGAAGTCTGGCGGCCACCAAGCGAAGGGCGGAGGGTGAAGAGGAGGCGAGACAAGTCAAGAGAAAGGCATGGACGCTAGGGTGAGAGAGCACCCAGACTGGTACATCAGAAGGAACGAGAGTGGAGTCGGAGTTAGAGTTAAGTGACGGGGGAGAGAGGGAAATGGTTGCCAGAGGAGGGAGGGATGGTTGATGCGGGAGAGAGAGAACGGAGGCGAGGAAGGATTTGGCGGAATGCAGAGGAGTAAAGTTGCGAAGTTGGTGAAGGAACGGGTGAAGGTGGAGTAGCGTCGTGTAGTGTAAATAAAGTCCCAGTTGTACGTACAGTTAGTTGTAGGGTGCGCAATCGATATTTAGTTGTCGCAGCGGGTTGTTCCAAACATTGGTACCCGCGTGGGTCGTATCAGTCGCAGAGAGGGAGAGATAAGAAGCAGCCTGGCAGTCCCAGCGTGGTGTGGTGGGTATACGCCTGGGAATTGCACAGGCAGAACCAAACGAGGACTGATCGATGAGGTGGGAGAGTGTCGATGGATGGCGAGGATTGTTGTCTTTTCTTCCCGAGGTTTGAGGGTGGACGTTGGGCGTGGAGGCTGGATGATGAAGTCCTGGAGGAGAGACGTTGTTCCGTCCGGGCCGTGGAAATTCAAACAACCAGCAAGCCCTTTACTATGTTTATATCTAATTGACAATAAATTTAAAATTGTATACATATATATATATATACAATTCCATTTCTATTCTAATTCTTTAGCCAGTCACTGATGAGGCGGTTGAAAACCAAGAACTACTAACTTTTCATCCACTCAGATCAATGAGACTAAGTATTTCAGCTGGCTAGGATAACTAGATATTATTTAAGCTGCCAGGTGTTCCTGGCAATTGGTTGATGAGCAGCAGATGTGTGCGATAAATGATGTCAATTTTGAATTTATATATATATTCTATTCTTTTTTATTAATATAATTAAATTATAAGATAAAAAAACTACTACATCTATTCAAAATAAAAAATATAAGTATTAACTCAATATAAATAAATTTATAGTAAATATAAATATTTGAATAAATTATTTGATCTTTATTCTCATTTAAATTATATAAAAGTTTATCTAATTAGTCTTGATGAATATTCTAACTTTTGATATATTTACTACTTTTATTATTATAATTTATTTATAATTTTTAGACTATAAAAACTTTACTCAGTGTTAGATATAACTGAGAATAAAGACAAGTGTGTGTGTGTATGTATGTGTATGTGTATATGTATGTGTGTGTGTTTTTATTTAACACTCAGTTAGTCAGTATGTCTGAAGAGCATATGATCTAGTAGAGTCTGCATTGAACTATAGAGTGAGTAGAGCTATATCTGTAGATAACTATCTATCTAGTAGCTATATTACAAATAAGATAAAATAAGTTGTGTATTACTACATTAGCAGAGTCTGTGAATCAGTTGCCATAGAGCAGAGGTTTGAGTGGTTTTAAATTTGTGAGGAGGAGGTAAAGAAGACAGATAGAAAGAAAGACATGTAAGAAAAGAAAGAGAAAAAAAGAAAGAAAGATGAGAAAGATAATGAAGAAGACAGAAGCAAGACAGAAAAGAAAATAATCTATAAGATCTGATCTGAAGATACATATTAGTGCATTGAATAGATATTTTGATAGAAGATCATTTCTTTTAGTTAGCTATCAAATTCTAGAGTATCATACAAGATTGTCAGTGTCTCACAAAGATTGTAGATAGACTAATGTTACTTTGTCACTTTTTATGCAAAAGTACAATAGTAGAAATGTTTTGAAATTTTACTATATTTGCATTGATAGTAGCACTCTGCAACTTCATGCTTAAGATGACTGTGATAGACTGCAAAGTCTTCATGATTTGATTAAGCAGTATAGAGTTTTTTTAATGTAAAGTATGAAAGTTTTATCTCTGTTGAGACTCTCTTTAGTGAGATCTTCAGCTTTATATAGCATTTAAACAGATTTTTAACTCAAAAGTTCTCAAAAATCTATGTGATTTATTTCATAGTATGCTGCTTTATATAAGCTAGCACGTCTATGCTGTTGAGTTGAAGTACTGTTTTTGTATTTACTGTCTACACTATAGCTGCTTTGACTTTAAAATTTATTTTTTTATTATTGATCATGTTTGTGTGATTTGAGACTCATCTAATAATCACTCTATTCTGAATAATTAATAAAAGTTTATTTCTGCTTTGTCAGATTTTTATAACTTTCAGAAATTGCACAAAAACTGACTGACTAGAGATGTTTGACACAGATTCAAGAACTTATACTATCTTCAAATTATCTAGACAAATGTAGATATTGCTGACATATTTCATCTGAAAAAAGATGATAATTTTTTTTAAATTCTGCAGAGCTATCATTGCCTTCACATTAAAAATCTCTGCTTTATTTATTGATAGATATTCTATGAAAATTAAAGTATTCACTATCTCAGTATATAACTCATTCTGCATCAGTTACATACTGAGAACATACTATCTGTAAATTATCAGTAAAAATTATCAGATTCAAAGAAATATATTGTTGTAGTCAGCTCTTAAAGTCTTGTGCTGTCTATTTCTTTATGCAATCTATCTTATACTTAATCTGCAAATCTTCTTTTCTGAAAATTCTCATTCAAAAAAATGTAAGTAGAGAATTATATGCTTCTATCACATCAGCATAACTGAACACTCTAAACAAATATGTGATATAGAGTCAGATGATAGCTACATTATTGAAGTGTCTCACTAGCAGATATTTTTTATTCATCTTTTTAATTTTTACTACAAAGACAGCACATCAGTTGTCTAATATCTCTTTCACTGACATGATTTCTAGCTTGCAGTATAGAGCTGAAATGAGTGTAATTTTATAAACTAACAATATCTCTCACAAAGTATCTCTAAGAATTAAATCTAGCTTTCTGATTAAATAATCTGTTTAATTGAAGATTTTCTTTTTTTTTTTATTCATATGACTTTAGGTTATCATATCTCTGCTCCATAGCAGAGCATAGAGAGGACACAGATCTGAACAGATTGTCTAAGTAGTTATACTGAGACACCTCTTGTCATGTTACTTAGCATCTGTATATTATTAAACATCTGTTATTATATTTTAACTCTCATGATTTTCACATGCTTCTTAAAGCTCAGTTTTCTATATAGTCAGATTTCTAGATATATTATAAAGCTTTTCACTGCATTTACTGTAATGAAGTAAATGTCAAATGTTATTTTAAAATCAATTGAGAGATTTGAAAGAATTCTGCACTGTGTGAAGTGCACTATCTCAGTTTTGACAAAGTTAAATATTAGTTCTTCATTGTTGATTTAATCATTTAACATCTTGAAATTCTTCTGAAGAGTAACAATATTTTATTCAAAAGTGATTTCAGCATTAAGTAGTTTTAAATCATCTGCATAGTCTGAGTATGCACATTTTCTTTATATAGTTTTTAGAAAGAACAGAGGCTGAATAAACAGCATGAATAGAATAGATGAGACTGAAGAGCTTTGTGAAAACTCTGCTAAGATATTAAAAAACTATTTCAGAAGTTCATTTATTCAGATTCTATCTGTATATTCTATCAAAAAGCTTTTCACTCATCTAATTAAATTTAATGATTAGTTTTATTCTTCTAGTCTTCACAACATTCTTTCTCTGAGTACAGTATCAAAAGCATTCTTGATATTCAGAGTAAGAAGAGAGACTACTCTTTTATTAGCTCAGATTTTCTCTATATCATAAATTATACTGTCACTAGATATAAGGCAGCTCACTCAGAGAGAACTTCAAAGTGCTGAAGATAGACAATTTTCTCTCATATAGTCATTCAGATCAGTCTATAAGCTATTAGACATTTTAATTTCTTTCTCAACATTGAGAGAAGAGCTATAAATTTGTAGAATTGCAGAACTGTTAAATCTTTATTAATCTTAGACAGCATAATCAATGTGACTTCTTGAAAGAAGATTGAATGTCAGTCAACTTTAAGACAGACTCTGAACAGTTTTTTCACTAATATTTTAATATGTGATCATGTCTTTCATAGCATCTCTGTTGGCACTTCATCAGTTTCTGAAGTGATATTATCTGTGTTCAGCAGAGAGTTTTGTATTTCATGTGCTGAGACAACATAAAATGATAATTTAACAGATGATGAATTAGATCAGCTAACTGAGATATTTTATCTGCTTGCAGTCTTTTGTAAGAGCACTCATTGCAGAAAATCTCTTTTCTCTCTAGAGTTTGTTTACACTAGCCTAATCTCTTCATTTACAAAAGAGAAAGAATAAAAGAAGTTAGTTGAATGAACTTATTTGATCATCTTAAAAATATCTTTTCTCACTGAGATCTCAGCTATCTTATCTCATTAGTATTCTCTTTTGACCTTTCTGATGATTCTGACTATGTTGTCTTTTGCTTCTCATAAAAATCTAGAATCTAGACACTGTACTCAATGTAGTATTGTCATCACTTTTTGACAGTTCTTATTTTATCATAGCTGATCTGTGTCTTGCTTAGTACTCTTCTTGATAAAGCTTTTCAGAGAAGCTACTAATGCATCTGTGATACTCTGAGTCAGAGCATTTAGCTGATCTGTACTGAGATACTCTAAAATATCATATAGTTTATCTAGTTTTAATTTATAGATTTTCTGTATCTGATTAAAGACCTTCTCATCTATCATGTCAAAATAGAAATGGTGAGGTGATTTGTCAGATTTTGCATCTTATGAAAGACTGATTTTGATGAGAAGAGTCT